AAAGTGTCTATTGCAATAACATGGAAAGAACTAAAAGAAGAAGAAAAAACCAGAGTTTTATCTTATATATTATATATAGTATTCTTTAAAAAAACATAAATAGAAGAAATAAAAATAAAGAAAACACTAATTAAGTACCTAATTCTAAAAACAATTCAAGACAGATTAGTATGATTTTTAGATACAAGAACAAGACAATAATTTATTAATACATTGATAGAAACAGTCTAAAATACCTTTTATGAACAAGTCTAAAGAACACAATACAAAAAAATCAATAAATAAGAAAAAAGAACAGGAATAACTAGCAAAATAAAAAAAAGAACTCAAAAGAAGAAAAAGAATCCAAGCAAAAAGAAAAAGATTAGTTAACAAGAAATAGAAGAGAAAAAGAAGAAAACAAAAGAGAAAAAAAAATGAATCAAAGATGAAGTTAGGAAGACAATTTTAAGACTTGTCATGAAAGGAGAAAGACCTTTTCGTTACAGACTTTAAGTAGTCAGACAAGCAGCTTACTTCTGCTTGAAGTAATGTGACAGGTTGCACTTAGGCGTCATTAGGATGGCCAGGTGATGCTAAGCTTAGTTGGTAGGTACATCTATGTAATTGCAATAGTAATTTCAAGAATTTTAATAAAGTACTAGCGTGACTGCTTAAGTTATAAAAAAAAAAAAAACTTTATACATTTCTATACGAAACTTATACTATCCTAATATTCATATTACTTGGTTAAAATCAAATTAGAACTTTTTTATTAACTCGAACACAGTTTAATATAACTTATGTAAATTTATACAAAATCTAACATTACTAAATTTATTTTCTATACAACATAATAAAATAAATTAGTTAAGGCATTTATGATATAAAATCTTGACAAAATTTCTGATAAATAAAATCCTGATAAAATTAGCCAGAATTACAATTAATGCCGGCCAAATCGTCAATATTATAGATCTAAAACCTTAGCGTCACCGCGTCACGGTAGCTACCTTGTCGATAACCCATTTCACTGACAGCCAATTTTTTTTCGACAGTCAATTAATTTCACTGACAGCCCATTTTTTTGACAGTCCAATTCTCTGACAGATCACTTCCCCCATTTCACTTATTTTGCTAACTTTCTATTTCACAATCTACCTCTAGCCAACACTAACTATAAAGCGGGCCAAGTCTAACTCACCCTAAATCGGGACAAAATTGTTAAAGAAGTGAATTATCGAGAATTAGATTGTCAGTTGAAAGAATGGGTAATCGGCAGAATGGCTATTGGTGAAATGGCAAATTTTTAATTGATTCTAAAAGATTAAAACATAATTTAGTTGCAAAAGTATATGACACAAAAAAAAAAAAAAAATTCAGAATTTTTTAGTAGAATAAGTTCCTATTTCACAACAGTCATTTAAAATTAAATTAGATTTAATTGTTTGCAACATTTCTTAATAATGTTATAATGTATTTCGATGTAATTATTTTTTGATAACATACATCTTTAATATTTGTCAAGCAATCAATGATTGATTTTCTTAAAAAGATAACAAGTTAAAGGGTAACAATAGTTTTAAGATGTAATTTAAAAAAAACGCGTATTTTACATAGTCATGTTTAACAACAGCAAATGTTATATTATTATAAACTTTTTAAATATATTTTATAAAGAAGAATGCCTTTATTATGATACTATTTTTAGACCTAGTTCTTTGTGTGTTTATCTATTCTAATCTGAATAACTTACTATAGCATATAAGTATATGCGTATGAGTTACGTATGTGAGTTACGTATCAGGTATGTACGTATATATGTATGTATGTACGTATCTGGACAGTACATACATAAGAATATCGAATATGAATTACCGTATGCGCAGTTTACCATATATGTAGACATGTATAAAAATACATTGCCTTATCAATCTTAATCTCTTATCGTAATTAACATTGTCTTTTCTTTGTTTCTACGTAGAAAATCCAATTGATTTCAAAAAAAAAACGATTTTAATGGTACATTGAATAACAATAACAATTGATTTCGTGGGGGGATTTTTTTTTTTTTTTGAAACTTTAGTGAATAAGACACAAATTAAGAAATTGAAAGAACATTTTCGAGAATGAAATGTTTCATATTTTGTAGTCACTACTTCTACCCCAATACACTTCAATATACCCCAAAAGACCACGAAGTTGTTCGGTAGGTATCCTCCAAGGTGCACAAGTAGGCATTTATTTTATTAAAATGGTAATAAATAAAATTTTCACATTACTGGTTTTTTTGTTGTGGCTTCAAACGTGGACGTGGCGATTTACGTATTTCTACATTTGGGAAATCTATTTTTGAAGCAAACAAATAAAATAATCGTCCTGGTTTTTCTTAAAATAGATGTCGATTTTTACCAAATTGGATGGACAACTATTTTAACGTTTAATTGTGTTATGTTTTTTTGGAAGTCATAAGAGTAAGTCATAAGTCATTAATAGCAGGTCAGAAGAATTATGTGTCATAATGAAGTAAAGTTTACTATCAATGCGAACAACACGATACTTTATCATTATAATGTATTGATGTACACTTTATCATTATCATTACAGATTTCGATATATGCACCTAAAGGAAAAAAGATATACCGATGATATCATAATTTAAAAAGAAAAGACAAAGAAATGGTTTACTTATTACGTATTAACTAAACAAACAAATTCACAAGAATTTAGGAACCGTTTCGAATCGAAATTAAAAATAATTTAAGCTGCAATTACGATACTAAAAGAAGAATCTATTTTTAGCATTGTATAACGTGGCTTTTAATCGTTGATCTATGCTTAAATCTATTTTTTCATTTCAGATTGTTTGTTTTTTGTTCTATTTTTAACAAAGTTTTTTGACTACAAAAAGAATTAATTTGAAACATTTTAATTTGTTGATCTTTATAACGTGTAATATATATAAATTTTTTTTTTATTTTTTATTTAAATTAATAACTTGCTTTACTTGAATAATGTCTAGAATTTTTTTTTTTTTTTTGTTTTTTTAGAACCCCATTTTGATCTGAAATTTGGACATCTGATAAAAAAAATGTATCATTATCAATGTACCTGAAACTTTAAGCCTCAAACTTTAATTGAACACAATTATTATTATTATTATTATTTTGAAAGAACGAACAAAAATTTTCAAATGGTTAAATGGTTATAATCATGTGCACACAATATTACAATATTGAAGAACAAGTTAGATACAAAACATGTGATCATCATTAATCATCATTAATTAGATTTACATTAATTAGATTTACATAAAATGAGTCAACCTATCGCTATGTATTTTTTTTTTCGAACAGATCAAGTAACCTTATTTACGGAAATTTCCGATTATTAACGGATTACCCCTAGATTATTACTATGAGCCGAGAAAAAAAATAATTATTAGATCCAATCGTAAAGAGATCAAAAAAAAAATAAAAGGTTATAAAAATATTCATGTATTGTAAGCAAATAAAATTTAAACAATTATCATGTTACTAATTAATCTTTAAGAATGATTATGAAACCGATTACGTTTTTAAAAAGTAAATCCAATCTTGGATTTTTCGAAGAGTTAAATTAATAATAAATTTAATTGATCTTGGATTTTTTGAAGAAAATAAAAAAGATGGAAATATTTTTATTTTTCGTGTTACTTTAATTTATCGTTAATTTATAATTTATATGTAATAAAATATAAAAGAATATAAAAGAATATAAAAGAATATAAAAAAGAATATAAAAGAATATAAAAGAATAATATAAACCAATAAAAATCATCGAGGTATTGTCACACACACACACACATAAAAAATAAAATGAAAAAGGGCAATATGAGAATAAAACTTTTGATTTAAAAAAAAAAAGTTTCATAAAAGGTTAATCAAAGATAATTTCAATTAATTGCATAATAAATCATGTGTGATTTTTAAATAGATAGATTTTATCAAAGTTATACAAAACTTTGTAAATAACCGAAATTTCTTAAGATTGGTGTATGTATGCATGTTATACAATGATGAATAAACAAGAAAGGCGTCGTGTTTACTCCCTCTTTTTTTTTTTAAAAAAAAAAAAGGTCAAATGAGAATCTCAAGGTGTTTTTTTCACACGTACATCATTCAGTTTCTAAATAAGTTGCATAATATACGTATTGATACTGTGATATCTAATATAATCTCGGTATGATCTCAGTTCTAATCACGGTTCTAATCGTATGATGTATAAATAAAATTGGGGATTTACGCGATATATATATGCAGCATATTCACGAAATAGAATACTTTTTAAAGTATAATCAAGACTTTTTTGGATGGCACCAAAAAAAAAACTATATTTGATACAATAAATTGAAACAGAATTGGGCAACAGAGATAATCAAAGAAAGAAAAAGAAAAAAAAAAAGTAAAAAAAAAGTCGCGATTGGTTTAAATGTAATGTGAAACCGTTTTTACAGACATGATCAATATAAATAAAAATGTTCAAAAAGAGAAAATAGTCGGATCGAACATGATCCTTAATTTAGTTCTGAAATTCCAATTCCAAGCATTATTCTTTTACAATAAAGAATTAATTATCGCTACAGTATTATATACAGTACATTATAGTATGATTGTTATTATTAACTATGATTATTAACTATGATTATTATTATTATTATTATTATATTATTATTATTATTATTATTATTATTTATTATTAATTATGAACTACATATCAATCAATATCATCAAACAGGTTATAATTTTCTGTTTATTTATATCACTAAAAGCATTACTAAAAAAGCGTTACTGAAAGCATCGATAAAATAGATTATATCGCACATGTAATACTGTAATATATTGAAACATATTGAGATCTATTGATATATACAGTAGATAAATAAATCACGTCGCATACTTTATTCGCATGCTTTATTGTTAAAAGTATAAATATATATCACCATATGAAGTTACTATGCAAAGTTATTATGAGAAGTCACCATGTGTGAAGTATGTGAAGTGAATTAAAAAAAAAAAAAAAAAAATGAAACATAAGAAGCAATGTTCCGTAAATAAAAGATTTATATGGTACAATGGTAAAGATAATAAAATATATTTTACAAATCATATATATATAAAAATCATAAAATAAATTTCATTTATCATACATTTTTCACATTTAAATTTATATAATTTAGAATAAATGCGCGTTTCTCTTTTTTTAATCACATGATGATCGGAGTTGTCGGAGTTTGTATGGCTTGAACAGTTAGTAAATGTCTGAAAAGGAGACGATCTTCGTCCAAAATAGGGCACACAAAGAACGTTAGTGGCTTGACAATCATTGGTCATTTTTAATACATTCATTTTAAATATTATGTATTTAATGTTAACGTGGTAAAATAAAGATATGGAGACTTGCATGAACAATTAATCAAAAATTCAACGAAACAAAATGATTTGGAAAGGGATTAAATTAATTTACATAAATTTGTAAAGGAAAAGAAATTAAAAGATACGTACGTATAATATTCGGAGATTATGTATTCTTGATAAATTTACTACAATTAGTAGGTATTTACTGCAATTTACTGCAATTAGTGAGTATTTACTGCAATTAGTGGGTATTTACTGCAATTAGTAGGTATTTAGTATTCTTAAATATAGGTAGATTCTTTGGTATACGTATTAGAATAAAATTTTATTCGTAAACGTAAAAACGTACATTATTCTGCACGGATGTACTCAACAAAGATCGATAAATATTTAAGCTTGTTCAGGAGCGACAAAGAAAAAAAAAAAAAAGTGAAATGGTGCGACTTGTAGGATCGACTTGAATTGATTATGTTACTTGTTTAGGTAACACTAGTTAAGAACAGCTGGGGACAACAGCAACTGAATGATAAGGACAACAGCCAAGGACAACAGCAACTGCAACTGAATGATAAGAACAAGAAAGACAAGAAAGACAAGAACATTGCGGAAATACAATGTATGTACGTGTGTACGTAAATAAAAGGTATCAATAAAATCTTTAATCTTTTTTGCAAGTATTTTGTAAGCACTAAAGAGGTACGTAGTGCAATCGCTTGTATGATATCATAATTTTGCGGAAAAATTACATTTTAGGATATTGTTTCCAAGAAATTTTTTTTTTTTTTTCATGACGACGAAGAAATAACAAGTCAACAAACAAATATGCTAATCAACCGAGTGATGAGCAATTAAGGATGCATATTTCATATTGAAATAGATAAATAAAGGAATGTGAAAGGGAACAAAACCCGAGTTAAAGTATTACCAGTATATATTATGGTATCATTTTTTTTTTTCCGTATTAAAAGAAGAATGCGCATGATTTATCAAAAAGAAGTACGTACGCCACAGATGCTTTTGATACGAAACCTTTTTTATTTTTTTTGTATTACAGACCAAGATAATTTAGATAATTTAGATAATTTCGATTATTTAGATTATTTAGATTATTTAGATGATTTAGATGATTTTGGGGTGGTTTTTTTTTTTTTGAAAATTGGTGGGTACATTTATAGATACACTAAATATACACTAACCATACATTAGCTATACGCTAGCTGGTATGTATGTACTGTGCTATACTAATACTAATATTGATACGTACTATGCACATATCAGATATACGCAGTATATACGCAGCAACACATATATCAATATGACACAGTCTAGACACATATACTGCGTAATATGTATGCTAATTAGTACGCACGTACTGTACCCGATATGTACGGATACATAGGTAGTAACAGTACGCGCATAATGCAGTAATGTATATTATTTCGGACATTAGAAAATCGGGTATTGGTATGTGAGTATTAATAATTAAGTCATGTGTTCAAGTAGCCATTAAGTAGAAATTAAGTAGCAATTAAGTAGCAATTAAGTAGCAATTAAGTACGTAGCTAATGACAAGAATTATTTTCTTGAGTAATTTAACAAAGAGAAAATTCAATGGAATTCTTGGAAGCACGTTTGCATGTGAGTTTATTAAATTATGTCATACTTGTGCGTCATGTTTCTTTAAAATATTTAGAATATACGATAAATTCTGAATTCATAATATATTCATAATATAATATATTCATAATAATATATTTATGATATAATATATTCATAATAACATATTCATGATATAATATATTCATGATATACAGAATAGATACGTAAAAGACTTTTTTTGTCATAGAATTAACGATAAAAATTATTAGGAATTTATTGAATGAATATAACCAAGAAAGTTGAATATCATAATGATCGTTGATCAGTTATCACAATCATTACATTTCACTACATTCACTATATTCACTTCACTACATACAATACAGCAATACAAAAATAAATAGGAAAAATTCAAAAAGAGTAAAAAGTATAATCATTCAACAATTTCCTTCGTTATACTTTCGGGTTATCTAAAAACGGAATACCTAAAAGAAATAACTTGCATATATATTTATGAAATATATTTATAAAGATAATTATATTTACGATAATTATATTTTATGATTTAATGTCATTATATTTACTATTATGCTTTGTGTAAATATATAAGTAAATATAAGGAGTAACGTATCACATTATATTAATACAAAGTTAAATTTACCAAATTCAAACACAATTAGGTTGTGTGTTATGACGAATGGGTGGCCTAAACTCGAGTATAAAAGAATATAAAAGGAAATATCAATAAAAAACAAGTTCCCTCGTAATCTCCCTCGTAATTTCAAAATGATAACCCTCAAGACAACATTTACAACATTTGGTAATACAATTGACATCATCATTTGCCATTCTCGTAAAACTTACTGCCACCCCTTCACATGAGCCACAAAATTTGTGAGACAAAACCCTTTGTTTCATTTTTCAAACACAAATTTCCGAGTTTAGTATTTTATATGGCGCATGTATAATAAAGTTTAAGCGCAGTAATAAAGTAAATGCATGACCATACTTACGTGATTTACCAAAGTTGTTAAACAAAAGAAGTTGAATCAACAACCCTGCATCCTGAATTTTCTAAAATAAGTATTCAAACAATGAAAGTTGGCTGGGGCAAATACTGTATCAAAAAAAATAAAATAAAATAAAAGAGAAAAAAGTTTGATCAAATTTCAAATATCCTGATATCATGGGGCTCTAAATAATGATTTATAATAATTTATATTAATAATTTATAATGATTGATAATCATTTGTCACACACCTACACCTTTTACTTGTTCTTATGACTTCTGATAACGGGAAGAACAATAATTCGATATATCAATCAATAACGATTAATTGATAATTAATAATTGGTTTAATTTTACCCTTTTTAATCATGATAATAAATATATACGTACGTATTTAATATATATTTAATATATATTTAATACCAATATATAAATAAATAAATAAATATATATATATATATATATATATATTTTCTTAAAAAAATAAATAAAATAAAATAAAATAAAATAAATCTTGATTTTTTAAAGTCTGCTTTTGGGATTTGACTTTTAGAGTCGTTGCACCTTCTTTTATATCATTCTTTGTATTTTGCATTGTGTTCGATTAGAAATTAAATTGTTTTAAGAACGCACATAAAGTTTATGACGAATTTAATGTTACACGCACGCAGTAAAAATAATTCCGGCATTGATAATTCTTCTGTTTAAGTTTATATGAGAAAAGAAAAAAAAAAGAAGAATGATGACATCTACTGCGCATATATCTGTATTATATATACATGTAAAATGATGATAATGTATAAATAGTAATATAAAATAAATAAATAATTAATTATTTAAACTACAATAACAATTAATTATGTAAAATAATTATGTAAAATAGTTCTGTAATTATGTAAAATAAATATTAATGTAAATAATGATGATAAGAAAGCATGTGTGTTTGCTCAGTGGGAAATCCAAAGCTTTTTAAACAAAGGAGAAATAAAAATGCAAACAAAGGAAAATTGTCAATGCAGAAACTTTAATAATTATAACAAAAAAAAATTTTAAATAAAGACCATTAGCTCTCCAAATTTCTGGGTAACCGATAATCTATAATAAATTGTAAAGTTGTTTTTGAGGTCGCGTGTTTCGGATGTTTATTTTAGCGATTACAGAGATAGTATAGTAAATAGTATAACAGATAGTATAACTGACTAGTACGTATAACAGACAGTATAACTAACTAGTATAACTAATTAGTATAACTAACTAGTATAACTGACAGTATAACATACTAGTATAACAGATAGACAGATAGTATAAAAAAAATAAAGTAATTTAATTATCGATCAAGAATCTTCTTTTAGATAATGTAGAAAATAAAAATAATGTAAATAATGTAAAAAATTATGATATTATCTATTTATCCAATCAATTAATATATAAATTAATATTTACGATTTTTGGAATCAATACATTGAAGATTTCTCTTGTGTCCATTATCTGATCTTGAAAAGTTATAAACGTTTTTTTAGTACAAAGGATTTGACTACTTGAAAATCATTTTTTGGAATAACCTTTTAAAAACATCTTATTATCCGAATTGACTATTGTGGATAAAAAAGGAAACATATATGAGATTGAATTTACTTCTTTTATGTACTAGAAAAAAAATTTTTTTTTTTATTTAGTTATTTACAAGATAAAAAGTATTTTCTTCTTCTTCAAAATAAAAACGTGTCCAAATTTTTTTAACCTCTATTCAGCAAACAAAGGTTAAAAGAAATTTACCTGTATTTTCTATTTTAATTCTGAACGCAGTAAATATTTTTATGTAATTTAATGCGCCATAATGCTACATATATTCTATTACTTTTTCTTTTTTGATCTGTGCTACATACACTACATACTACATATTACAGTCTATTGTAAAAAAATCACTTTTGTTTATAACAAAGTAAAATGTAAATATCGTAATTCTAAATTCCAAATGAATTATATACACTAAAATATACTAAATATATACACTAAATATACTAAATATACTAAATATACTGACTATATGCTATTTGTTTGTACATTTACTGTAACCGGACGCTTTGTTTATTAATGTCACTTTAGAAATGGTTGGTAACCCTTTTTTTTTTATAATAGCTTTTGGTTGATCTTTTCTGTTTTAAACAAATCGCAAAAAAAAAAACTAGAGTACGTAACTAAGTAACGTAAGTATGTACATATTATTACTTCACGAACCTTTTTATGATAGAACCTTTTTATAATATAACCTTTTTATAATAGAACCTTTTTATGATAGAACCTTTTTATGATAGAACTTTTTTATGATACATATTAAATAAATACCCTACCCTAAAATTCTTATCAATCACATCGAAGTTTTGTTTTCTTCGTATACATATCTAGTAAATTATTTATTTATTGTATTTTTATTATTTCTTTATTTGAATTTGGGGTCTGATACCCTATATTGAATAATTGTAAGTATTTATTACTTTAAAAAAAAATGTATATAATTAATTTTTTATAAAAGGACCTATTCGCTTTTTTCTAACTTTTTTCTAACTTTTTTCTTTTCTGAAAAAAAAAGTCTTTTTAACAAGTAATTCTAACAATCTATCGAGAAGTTAAACAATCAGCTTATGAATTAAATTAAACCAAGAAAAAAAAAGCGTAAAACTATATCCGAAATTTTTAAGTCTTTATATTTATGCAAATTTAATTCGTCACCTTAGAACGAAACTTTTTTAAAAAAAAAACGACACAAAATTAATTCTTATTTTCAACTTATTCTCAACTTATTTTCATAATCGTTATTACACTACCCTCTATTACCCTTCTTTCATCTGTTCATTATCTTATTAAAAAACAATGACAGTAACAAGACCAGGAAATCCTTCTAGGTATCCAACTCAACCGGATCTCTTGCGACGCACAAATTCTTCTCACTCATCACAGGCAAATTCAACCAAGCGAAGCAGAGGTCCAATTAATAAAAGAGCTTGTCAACGTTGTAGACAAGGAAAGATCAAATGTGATGGGGATGCGGAGACTGGAAAACCTTGTTCAAATTGTGATCCAGAACTCTGCAAATACGATAATAGTCCAAGAAAAAATAAACAAGTGGAGAATCTCAAGCAAAGACTACAAAAAGTTGAAGACAAACTCGTTTCCATTTTGAAAAGCTCTAGTGACAAATTAGAATTAACTTATATCGAAAAAGAAACACTTTGTCTCTTATACGAAAATAAAGAACGTTTTAACGGTTCTCCCGTTTTTCAAGGGCTTCTTGAAGCAATAAAACAATGCCAACTTGACAGACAACTCTTAGTTTATACTTATTCTCTCTTGGAACGAATTTCTACAAATGAAGACAAAATCTCTGGAATAATCGATAGTTTACAACGTGTTCTTATTGCTGCTACTGAGCGAGCAAAGAGTCTTTCCATTTCACCTACAAATACTCAACTCGAACAACAACAACAATACGATTCTTCAATAATGTCTGGTAGCGTTGATCCAACCATGATATTAACCAGCAATCCATCCAATTTATCAGCTATTTCTTCTTTCGAAAATAATATGTGCCATAATTGTGAAACAAATGGCTTAAATCATGTTCACACCTCATCATCTGATGACGATGGATCTGAATCATTTAGTAATGGTTATGAATGTAATGATGACGGAAGTGGTGGACCTTCAACACCAAACGAACAGAATCATCCTAATTGTTATGAATCTAAACCGTTTCAAGCATCAAATGGATCTGCTCATCAATTACCAGGCTCATCACAAATGCTAGAAGTGGCTGATTATTATCCATATTCTTATAGTCTTCCACAAGCAGAATATTCTTCTCTTTTCTTTTTCGATCATCAAACCACATCTCCTACAGATGAAAATATGTATTTGAAACTTAGTTAAATTAGAAATTTGACTAAAATTAAGAAAGAAGAATCATTATTACTTTATAATTTATCAAACAAATTACAATCAATTGCATTTCAAAAATCAAATAGATTAAAATGCTAAATCTTTTTTTTTTTTTTTCAAACAAGGGATATTTGTACATATGCATAAAAACTTTAAAATTACTTTGAATGTAAACATTTTATTTTTGTATTTATGATATATAGTAAATCGTTTTGTAGTTTTAAGCGTCATTTTTTTATTTGATTTATTAAAGAAAAAAAAAAATCATTTAAGAAAGATTACCGTCTCGTTTTACTTTTTATATTTTATTTCATTTTTTTTTTTCTTTGTATATTTCTTGCGTAGATTTTTATTTTATTTTATTTTTTTTTTATTTTCATTTTTCATGATTTTCATGACAGGCAAATACTAATTACAACGTTAATCAAAGAAGGTATATCGATATCGAATCTTGTATCTTGGACAATTTTCTACTTATCGTAGTAGTGTGATTAAATGCAATCACTTTTTTTATTTTATTTCATTTCATTTTATTCTATTTTATTTTTATTTTTTTATTTTTTTTTTTGTAAATAAACATGGAAAAAAATCTTTTTTTCTCTGAAAAAAAAAAAATTTTTTTTTTCTTAATTTCCTACGTGTAATGAATATCTTTCTTAAAAAAATAAATTTGACGTACGTCGTATTAATTGTATTAATAGCATGATATTAATGACATGATGTTAATAACTCTAATAATATGATGTTAATAACTTTAATACGTAACATGATGTTAATAACTTTAATATATGATGTTAATAACTTTAATACGTAACATGATGTTAATAACGCGCGAAATTATCAATATCTGATATGTTAAAAATTACGCGTCAAAAACCTAAAAATTTGTTAATCATACCATTAGAGTATTAGGATCGAATTTCTTTCCTTTCTTTACGTAACATTTAATAAAAAAAAATTTTTTTTGACAGGATAATTTAATTGATGCAAATAAATTTGAGAATACGTACAAAATAAATTTGAGGCTGAATTATAGTTTCCAAATAAATTATAGTCTCTAAAGAAAAAATGATTTTTTTTTTTTCCTCAATTATCGCTATAATCGCTATAAAAAAAAATGTATCAATATACGCAAATACTAATTTTGCATTATTTGATTATTTGTGTTCCTATCAACCAAATTTGGAAGCTCAAATGATTATAGTAAATGCCTCGATATTTGGATCACTACTTTTTTGTGATTTATAATTTTTGGGGCTTCTTTTTTTTTGCATCCCAATTTAATGTTTAGTTTCCCCAACCAACTATTGATAATCATCATAAACAATTAATTATTTCTTCTTTTATGGATCTTTATATTAAACAATAAATTATGGTAATTGTCCCATTTGAAATCATAGAAATTATAGAAATTATAGAAATGATAGCGATAGGAATTTTAATTGTTTAATTGCTCTTCTTAGTTTAATTAATGTCAATAAAAATATTTAAAATTGATTAATGTTGATAAGTTTTATTTACGTAGAATTTCTGAACCTACATACCTGATACATATGATGATACATCTGATACATTTGATACACCTGATACATATACGTACTTACATACTGTACGTATAAAAATCTCATGGATTAAATGGTATGATGCATTTTTTCGTGTTTCCGTGTACAAAACATTGTATGCTCGGCCGACATTGATACTTTTCCAAAATCGATTGTTTTTATGATAGACTATACAACGCGAGGTAACATTTTTTATCTCAAGCATGCTTCAATTCAATTCTTTTGAATTCTTGTGATTCATAACAAATCTGTAACGCGCGATATCTTCTCATCGGTTTTCCCAAGCACAAGTAATCCTTGATAAACCTTAGTAAACGTTAGTAAATGCTGTACTATCCACGAGGAATCTTACTATCCTGTCGATTTTAACCGTTCAATTCAACTACTAATCATAACTAAAGCTAATACAAAACTTATCTACGAATTATTTTTATGCAAATCTATTTACAAATTTTATTAATACAACCTCTTTATTTACAACTTTGTATTTACAACTTGTCAATTCTTGTACAAAATATTCAAAGTTTATTAATTTCAAAAACAAATATATATATACATATTTAATTTATATTAATTTATATTTATTGTCTGTCAAAGGTTAACTTTCTTTTCAATTTTTGTGCAAAACTATAAAAACTTGTTAATTTTTTAGTGCAAATTGCGCGTTCTCTTTTTTTATTCTAATGTGGCGTTATCCAAACGAAAATAGCTCATGATATTATACATGCATACATGCATACATTATTATCTCATATATATATTTTTTTCCCTCACCATCCTATTATAAACCTTATAATGGATGAATGTTTTTCTTATCATATAAATGTTGTGTTCGGATAAACACATTGAAGAATTACTCCTCATTTTGTTGTGGCAAAAACTCAGTAAGACGATGAACAATTGGTAAAAATCGGCGCGCCAATTACCCAAAATAATCTAACAACGATTAATGAATAAGTAGAGTACCCTGATTTAACGATTTTTCAAAAATATTTACTTGCAGGGCACATGAAAATTATTAAAAATTAAACACATGCATCAAATTTCATGAATAGAATTTGTTGAATGAATGAATAAAATGAACTCACGATCATGTTTCTTTTTTATAAGTATTATATATATATATATTTATTTATATATACTGTATCTCTTATTATATTAATTCTATCTATGTCTTTATTATAACTTTATAAGTACGTACGTCTCTATTATTATTCTTATTATTATTCACAATATTTGTGATAATTTATGATAATTGATGATAATTTATGATGTGTTTTTTTTAGCACAATATAACCAATCTATTTAGGATTATTTTGGATTAATTATTTTAATGATTTTGGATTAATGATGAATATAATGTAAGATTTAATGCCTAATAAATTTTAATTCTATCAAAACCTGGATTAATACAAACTCAATACTACATACTTATATTGTTGATAAAGGCAAGTCAATGTTTAAATGTTATCTACTTCATTATTTTTCCATCAAATCATTAATTCATCGTCATTAATTCATCATCATTATAGTTTACACAGCGATAGTTTATCATCATTAAATTTATTAGCATTTACTATTACCGTTACTATATTGATTATCATAAATTATTGATTCTTATAAATTATTGATCATTGATTATTATAAATTCTTGATTATTAAATCATTGATTATTGATTATTGATTATTTGTAATTATGTAATCAATAAATCTGGGTTCTTTTCTTTTTTTGTGGTTAAATTATTAAAAAAAAAAATCTTTCATTTTCAAAGTGTTTACTTTTTGACTTATTTTAACTTATTAGGTAGATCTAAAGATCTATATTATCCTTTATTTCCCGTCAAATTTCTACAAACAAATATGCTTAATCCGTTTTTCTTTCCTATTTCCGCCCTCGCTTTTTGCTTTTTTGGCGTTTCTTTAAATGTGTCAGTTATGTATCACACAAGTTTATTGATCATCCGCTTAATGCGTCCCGCCCTTCCGCAAACAATTCGGATTTGATCTACTTATCGGTACGTACTATTCCCATACTTACCTTACTTATCAATAATCCCGATTTGTCATTGTTTTTCCTTTTTTAAAAATCCTTGGATTCCCTTGGATTTCCTTGGATTCCTTGGATTGGATTCAAATTTGGTAAATTCCAAAAGAAAATAACAACTTTATCCTTATCAAGTGATTCATATCTTCAAAATCCTGTATTACGTATCAAAAAACTATCCAGGTTTATTTATTATAGTATGTAATATCTTTTATTTATTTCATGAATGTTACGTAAAATAGATGTACGTACCTAGGAAACGCACTACTATAGATTTTTCGATAAAACGATAATTAACTTTAAAGATAGAATGAAATTTGACTACGTACATGAATCAAAGATACTCATGAATTATTGTAGTTTAAATTATTTATTGGATATTTTATAACAAATGTATATCGTAATTTTAGGTTACTTTAAAATAGGCCTACCAAATAAATTTGCAATCTACCGAATAAATTTGATTGTGATTGCAATCAATTAATTGATTGGGTGATTGCAAATTTGGGTGTGATAAATCATTTGCGTGATGAATAAAGATTAACTAATATAATTAATTAGTAAATTCTTATTTTGTCATATACAATTATTCATCACACTCATATGGTCAATTATGTATCAACTTATCTATCGCCACATTTAGTGCATTCCGTAATCGAATAATTAGGTGCAGTATTTCTATAATTTGTTATTTATTATTACGTGCTTCAAAGTTTAACTACACTTTCAAAAACTTATTTGCAATTACTTTTATTATATTCAAGATTTATTTACATTAATTATTGAATTTAAATATTATAAATTATAAATTTATTTACTCTCAAATCCTAATTTTTAAATTCATATTCTAGAAATATATTCGTGAAAGTAGAGATGTTAAACGGTTTATGATAGATCCGAATCTAACTAGTTTTTATGTTACACAAATTTCGAACTAGTTGATAATCTATTTCTTTTTTAATACCCTAAAAAAGCGAAACTATGAAATATAACTGTTACTAACTATTTAAAAAAGTATTTTATTTTTATTATTGTTTTAATTATTTTTTATGTACTTTATTAGATTTGTTGCAAACCAGGTTTTAAGGCAAAGAGTAGCACAAGATTTTTCAAGTTCTAAGTGATTTCTAGTTGAACTAATAGTAAATTTGATTATACTAATCATTTGTTTACTTGCAACACTTGTTGCCTAAACTACTAAATAATCATACGTTATACAAGTAAGTTGAGCCTATTAAAAATTTTTAAATTTTAGTTTTCTAGTAATTAAGAACATTAACTTCTTTAACAGGTAAATCAAAAAATTATTAATATTCATAGATATTATATTTTTGCAAAAATAATCATGAAATTTTTTTTTTTAATCTTAAGCAGTTACACTAGTA